AAAAAGAGAGGAACAAACCAGGTTTACGATATAATATATACAAAAATAGCACTGCAAAAAAAAAGAATGTGAGCAATGCAGTCCACCATGAAATAATAAACATAACACTGATACATAGCAATGCACCGCTTAATGACACCCACATATTGTAATATTTAAAAGCGGGCCGAAAACCTGAATATTTCAAAAAATAAAAAATAACAAATAAATTAAATAACATTTTATCAATTGCACTAATTAATGACAAATAATTTAATCATTCATCAAAAAGGAAAAAAAAAACTATAAATAATCCCAAATTTTCTTTTTGTCCAATAAATAAAAGAGTTATTTTTTTAATTAAATTTTAAAACCTGGTGAATCTGCAAATGAAGCATCGAAACACGAATAATTAACGAGTGCGTAGGAAGCCAAGAAAAAGTTTGAAATTATCGGTGCTATTGCATTCAATTCTCCTGAAATTCCATCAAAAATAATTGCAGAATAAAAGTTCGCAAAGGAATTTTTCAACCGAAAATATTTAATTGAAGGTAATGAATGAATTTTAGAAAGATAGTCAGGTGAAACAAAAGAAAAAAAAAAGTAATACTTTATGAGCAATTAAAGTATCAAAATTGGTACGATGAGGTCAAAAGTTCAATTTTTCCAAAATGTCATATATAAAGAATATCAAAAAATGAAAACCTCCAACCCAATTGAAAGCAAGGAATAAGAAAAAGATCAAAACATTAGCATTTTGAAATACCATTTGCTTCGAACTTTTTTGTTAAATTTCATTTCTTCCCAAGGCATCTTTTTTTTGTGAATTTTTTTCGTAATAAAATCATTTTAAAGAATTGCCGAATTTTTTGCCTGGAAATAAATGAATAAAATTTCCGGATATATTGATTTCTCTTCAATTAAAACATTATTAAATGAATTGAAGAAAAGTGATAGAAATTCAACAATTACCGATTAGAATTACCGCCAAAGCGATTACAAAGCCAAGTGCATAGGCTCGACGTGGTTCTTCATCCTTCCCATAACCTCGTGCAAAGAAATCCACCTTCGGGAATAGACGATCTTTGCATACGGCCTATATTAGTGAAGATTATAACTCTACAGAACTTAAATTTCAGGTATTATCACCTACCAGTATATTAATAATCATTAAGGCTAATGGAAAATTTCAACTCTGCAACATTCTTCTTCTCAGTATTTATCATTTTCTCTAAATACCTTAATAATTTCTTGTATGGCTAATAAAAATTTGTATAGCTAATAAAAATTTTTAAAGTTAATAAAATTATGGAAAAAAGTGTTACCTGAAAAATTTTTGGTGCACTAACAAGGCTAGCTAGAGCTGAGCTTAATGTTGCAGCAAAAATACCAGCTATAATTATTGGTCCATAAAAACTTTCATTTTCCATTACCTAAATTGTAAATAAATAATAGCAGAAAGTAAACACTTCAATTTAATTGTTCCTTTTTTTTTGAGAAATAAAAATAAATAAAGCGAAAAAACATTGTTATTTAAAAGAAAGACGGAGAAAAAAAAGGATAAATATTGTAGCATATAAAAATACGATAAAAAATTTAAATATTTTAACCTTAAAAGAAGTCATTAAACCGTATGGACATGAATTATTATGCGCACAATCGGGAATGAAATAGGAATTGTTGATGAAATATGGCTGTTGATAACCGTCAGAATATCGTACACAGGTTGACCCGGTTGCAAATACAACCAATAAATATATCACCGTTGTTACCGCTATTGCTAATAATGTACCTTTTGGTATAGCATGCTAAAAATTATTATAAAAATCAAAATTTATTATATAAGAAAATATTACAAGCCTCGTCCAACGATATAATCATATATAATTGCTATCGTAATATTACTATACCTTAAAAATTTGAAAATTTTATTTTCCAGAATTCTTTATCCAAAAAAAAAAAAATTATTTTCTCTTCTAAAAGAATTTTAAAAAAAATTAAGAGGAATTCATTTGTTATTTCACAGTGATTGAAATGTCGAAAAATTGATAAGAATAAGTATTCTTATGGCAATATTTATTGGTGATAAAATTGATCACATATGATTACCTGAGGATCCGCTAAATCACCGCTAATATTTGCACCTGCCATTATTCCTGTTGCAGCCGGGAAATATATAGCAAATATGGAAAAAAATGTCTCACCTTGAAAATTCGGAAACATATTTTCGCTCATCGTAGCAACTGCAAAATTGTAATAATAATTTTACAGAAGATAAAATTCCAGATAATTGAAATGTTTGCTAATATTAATTTTAATGTCCATTTAATTATATGATAAGACTTTGCAAAAAATTGAAATGATAATGATGTATATTTGGGAAAAATTATAAATTAACTTGAAAATATCATAAAATTCTATATCATAGATAGAATCATTGCTATCAAATGAAACTAAAATTATAATGATTGAGAAGAATTTAATGGAATACAAGAAGACAATAATAATTTTCAATCCTCGATGTAAAACTGGTCATTCAGAGAAATGAGTAAAATTTGTATAACTGACCACATGGAACTATATAATTAAATAATTGATTTTTTAAT